TCCCTACAGGTCTATGACATCACTGCAAATTGTCCCTACAAGGTTCCGTCAATGGTATACCCAGAACTTTTTAACCTGGTAAACACTCATGGATGATGGCCACAAGTGAGAGATCTACAGTTTGAAACAGCAAGTTGAAAAAAGAGCTTGTCTAGCAGAGGAATATGAAGTAAACTCCAGTAATGCTGCTTTCTTGTAGTTGGAGTTGATGCTTTTGAACTTTCAGTTCTGTCTATTTCATCCTACTGTCAAAGACCATTATAATGCTGAATTAAGAATTCTGCAGCCTATTTTCAATTGTTGGAGAAAACAACTGGTAACGTATGTGTGGCAGTGTTCTATCAATATATGTTTACATAATTTGATGGAAAGTTAATATTGTTTGAAAAACTTGAGTTCTGAGGTCCATACCCATGTAAGTTCCTTTCTTATGTCCTTAGTATTCAGTAACCACAAGAGCCTACTATCAATGTGTGTATATATATGGCATGTTTGCCTTCTCAAGCAACTTGAGACATTTTAATTTTCAACTATTTCAGAAAATAGTTCCACTCAAAGTTTGTCAAATAAAAGAATATTGAGTGTAAAGATATGTCAAGTGAAATAAAATGCATTTTTTGATGCAGTCACTATATACTCTGCTGAATAACTACATGGGAATGAATTCCCCAGTGAAGATGAAAACTTTTAATTGAAGCTTTCAAAAAGAGGAATCCCAGTTAAGCAGACTGCAAATGGAATTATAATAGATTTAAAATATAAAAAAACTTTAACATACATCACACAAAAATTTTACTAGAAAGATGGAGATTGGTCAAAAGATGTGCAAAAACATATTCCTTTAGTCTAAGGACAGTTAAAGAGAAAAATAGCCTTTAAAAAATGTAGTCACAAGAGACAATATAATAAACATACCTAAACAATTATTATGATTTCATTAACCTAGGAATATTTTTAAATTTCTTTATGCTTTATTGTCCCCATGAAATATAAAAGCATCATTGAATAATTCCCTTTGTCTGACATGCATTAGTCATAATTGTAGTTAGGTAATCTTAGCCAAATAAATAAGCACTTTACACATTCTTTGACCCAGCCCCTAAGGCATCCTCTATCTCTGTGCAGGGATAGGTGAATATTTGTTGGGTGTAATTGGAGGAATGTGATTAGAAACCATACTGCTTGTCCTACATCTCCACTTGCTCTGCTTTCATTTTTGTCTATTCTGCTCCACTATGTTTTATCTTTCTAAGATTTAATAAAGTGAAGTAAAACTATAGTCATTTTACAAAAGTATTGCCATAAGTTTTCATCAGACCTGCTGTAGTTTGAAACCTAGGTTGTTTATCAACTACTTTGTGGTCTGGTGTTCCTCTCAATTGTATCTGTCAAACATTGCATGTGTATTTTGCAATCAAGTTTCTGATGTTATGGGGTATCTTCAAAGTCTATTTTTTTTTTTTAACATCTTTATTGGGGTATAATTGCTTTACAATGGTGTGTTAGTTTCTGCTTTAGAACAGAGTGAGTCAGTTATACATATACATATGTTCCCATATCTCTTCCCTCTTTGTCTCCCTCCCTCCCCCCCCCCCCCAGCCAGCCACAAAGAACCGAGCCGGTTTCCCTGTGCCATGCGGCTGCTTCCCACTGGCTATCTACCTTACGTTTGTTAGTATATATATGTCCATGTCTCTCTCTCGCCCTAACACACCTCACCCTTCCCCCTCCCCATATCCTTAAGTCTGTTCTCCAGTAGGTCTCTGTCTTTATTCCTGTTTTACCCCTAGGTTCTTCATAACATTTTTTTTTTCTTAAATTCCATATATATGTGTTAGCATACGGTATTTGTCCTTCTCTTTCTGACTTACTTCACTCTGTATGACAGACTCTAGATCTATCCACCTCATTACAAATAACTCAATTTCGTTTCTTTTTATGGCTGAGTAATATTCCATTGTGTATATGTGCCACATCTTCTTTTCAAAGTCTATTATGTGGTATCTTCAAAGTCTATTTTGGGCCAACTCATAAGAAGAAATAAATGTCAAACGAACGTTGCCTTAATTGGGTTAATATAACATTGCATGTACTGGATTAATTTTGCTGCTTTAACTTAAGTAAGATTTTGCCAACTTTTCCATAGACATAAACTAATTTTCCAATTCTTACTATTTTTGTTTTCCCCTCCAAGAAATAGAACTTGATCTTTCTTAATTACACACCAAACTATCAAAATAAATAGCCTATTGCTACTAGCTTATTCATAGAGGCAAATTAGCATTCCTAAATAATCAATCAATTAAAAATTTACTTGATATCCCAAATAGAATTATGAGGGACTTCATAAAGCAATCTCTCCTCATATTTTTTAAGATCCAGAAATGCTCCTTTTGTCCCACTAATCTAACCAACAATTACATTATTCAATCTATCTGATCAATTTTGGGTTAGGTGTTTTAATCTTTGTTTAGGAAATCTCACATGATTCAGCTCTCTCCCCTTTACTTGGTTCACATCTGTTGTGGGATCAATTGTGTATCCCCAAAAGATATGTGGAAGTCCTAACCTGCAGTACCTCTGAATGTAACCTTATTTGGAAACAGGGTCTTTGTAAATGTAATCAGGGTAAGATGGTATCCTAAAAAGAGGAAACTTTGGACACAAAAAGACACATAGGGAAGATGGCCATATGAAGATGGAGTCTGAGATTACAGTTATGCTGCCACAAAGCAAGGAACACCTAGGACTACCAGAAGCTGAAAGAGGCAATGAAGGATCCTCCTTTAGAGGCTTTGGAAGGAGTATAACCCTGCTAATGCCTTGATCTGGGGTCTTTAAGCCTCTAGAACTAGAATACATTTCTGTTGTTTTAACCTAGTTTGTGGTACTTTCTTATGGCAGCCTGAGGAAAACAATACAACATTTCAGAGCCCCATGTTTTTTACTCCCACCTGACATGCTGTAGTTCTGACTCTCAATCTCTAGGACTAGTTTCTTTATTTCTGACTCAGGTTTGGCATTTAGTTTCATACAATGTTTGACCTATTTCTAAAATCATAAAACAAGAGGGATTTGCTGAAAGGCCTCTCTCTGATAACTTGCATTTAATTTTACCAAAAATAAATTTGCTTACTGGTACTTAAGTTCATTTATAATTATAATGACTTTGAAAGCTATAATTTAGATAGCAAAGATATTTCAAATCAATGTAGACTAAATATCTAAACTGTGACCTATATTGCTTTGTTCTAAACTGACTAGATCAAATAAGATGAAGTCTGAAAAATGTCCATTGGTTATGACAACTACAAGGTCCACGGTAATTTGAGTAAGAGCAATTTCAGTGGAAGGGTGGGAAATAGAAGTGATAAAACACTAAAATTTCTGGGAATTATAAAGTTTAAAAATTAAACTGCAGTTAAAAAAAGAAAAAATAAGTGTAAAATATCATATAGACAAAGAGCTATACTTAATACACTAAAAGATTTTAGAAAATCAATATAAAAATAACACAATAGAAAAATTTTAAGAACATGGATAGAAAACATATAGAGGAAAAATAACTGACCAATAAATATATAAAAGAGATCCACTTTACTTCTAAAATTAAAATTAAAATAATATCAATGTAAAATTAGCAAAGATTATTTTAAAGGTAATCTCCCCTTCCTTAAAAAAAAAGAGAGTATTATTAAATGGATGGTCTCCTACATTACTGACAGGAGTTCAAATTGATACAATCTTTATTCTGGAGAATCTGAAAGTAAATATCAAAGGTTCCTGAAACATGCATACCATGTGCCAACAATTCTGCTTCCAAGAAATTTAACTTTTGGAAATATTTATTCCCTCAAGAAGTATTTACTGAACACCTATCTATTCCAGGGACAATTCCTACATGTTAGGGAAACAACAGAATACAAAAAGACATTGTATCCTGTCCTTATGACTCTCACAGTCTAGTGGGAGAAACTAAATAAATAAGTAAAAAATTTGTGAAAATAATTTTAATTAGTGAAGAGGGAATATACTTTACCTAGAGTAATAGGACCAGAAGGGGTTTATAGTAGATAGCATCTAATTGAGAAAGTATCCAAAGGAGTAACAGTAGGAAGAAATGCCATGTTCTAGAAACTATAAGAAATCTGCTGTGGCAAGAAGAAAGGCAAAGCAAACAAAGTAAATCATTTAAGAGATGTGCTTGAAGAAATAGATAGCAGCCTGATGGTGCACTGATTTAGAGACTCTATGAAGTATTGTTATTTTGGACATAACCATTGTAAATACTTATGAACCTAATATCAGAGCACCTAAATATAAAAAGCAAATATTAAGAGATTTGAAGGGATGAGTATACAACAATACAATAATAGTAGGGAACTTGATTATATCACTTTCATTAATGGGTAGATAATCCAGATAGAAAATTAATAAGAAAACATTGGAGTTGAATTACACTTTTGAACAGATGGACCTAACAGACATATAAGAACATTCCTTCCAACAGCAGCAAAATAAACATTCTCCTCAAGCATACTTGGAACATTCTCCAAGAGAGATCATATGTTATCTAACGAAACTAGTCTTTAAAAATTTATGAAAATTGAAATGATATCTAGCATCTTTCTAACCACAATGGTATGAAATTAGAAATCAAGTACAAGAAGATAACAGCAAAATTCACAAATATATGGAAGTTAAATATCATACTACTGAACAACCTATGGGTCAAAGAAGAA